AATGTCAATACTTATCATTTACTCTGAATGTACAAGTCCTGCCAACAAAAAAGTGTGAATTCTTGCACACAAAATGAAAAGACATTATGCTTTGACATAGGAAATAAGAAATACAACGTCAAGTCTTCTGAAGATGCTTAACTTCATTAAGCATTATTTTTATATAGATTTAGAGTTCAAAAACACATCCACAAAACACTACCACATTTAATGTCCACAACAACCCAGTAAGTTGTTATTGTTAAGAAAGCAAAAAATATAAAAACAAAACAAAACAAAAAACCACTATGGTTTAAGAGACCAAGAAATTGAGTTGCCTAAAATCACAGTTAGTAACTTGGTTCTCTGCCCTTAAGTCCAGCACCCTTTCTCTCTCACAGATTTTGTTTTAGGATGAATATACGAATGTGGAAGATATTTGTGCACACACTTAAGTTTTCTTGCTTGACAAGCAACCCTGCTTCAAGATGATGAATGTTCACTTTCAGGTTTGGACACACCTACACAGCTCTCTTTGAGTAAATGTGCCAAGAAATGTACTAAAAATACTTCTATTACTAAATAATAGACTTTTACAAAAACAATGAGGAAAATTCACTAGACTTCAATCTTCTCAATTATATTACAGAAACTTAAATAAGAGATTACATTAAAAAATGCCGGTTTTGCTATTATTTAAGAATTAAGGAGCCCTTAAGTGTCTCACAAATGTAATCTAGTTAATATTAGACCTGAGTGAAATTCCATAGTCTTTCCTCTCAATTCACATTAACAACTATGAATTACTGCTATTTTATCTATCTGCTTTCAGAATAGAGGAATAGAAATAAAATAAGAAAAATGTGAAGAAGGGGAGAAAGTATCTGTTTTCTTATGAAACAAAAACAGGATTAAATAGAAATATTAGGTACTAATAATACACTATGCACTTTAGAAAACAAAAAATCGCTTATGTACTAAGAGATTTTTGTTTCTGAAGCCCTCTTAATCCCCTTAACAAAGTAATAAAACAAGACAATCGAATTATCAATGAGCACCATGTAATAAATACAAAAATGATTAGGTATTGATCTAATAAAAGGACATAATGTATCAGTGGACCTTAAAATTTCATTAACCACTAATATCAATACAAAATGTTTAATTTCCTTCAGGACAGGGGAGAAGTGATAGAATAGTTATTTCCAGGAGCTGCCCTGAGGTACACTAAGAGTATACTCAGACATCTGGGGTTTCTCTTTTGTCTCCTGCTTCTATAAACCTATTCCCACCCTACTCCTGCCTTTCTTAAGAAACAAAAAAAAAAGTCCATAGAGACTATCAGGAAATAGAACTAATAGTCTAGAATTTTTTAATGGTAATTGATATACTGGATATTGTACATTTTTATCAGATATCAAATATAAGAGGGATTCATTTTAGCTCTTACTTGAAAGAATTTTTTGTTCTCAAAGCATCTTTGAAAGAACAGTGAAGTGAAAAGCATGATAACATGAGCATGAAAAGCATGATAACATTTAAACATAATTTTATAGCTACATAAGGTAGCTTTAAAATTAAACTGATGTGAATTGAACTGATATCTCTCTCTCTGCATTTCTTGGTGGCGTGACTTTGAGCAAATTGCTGAAATTCCTTGAATCTCATTTTATCCACAAGTAAAAACGGATAGCTGAACCTGCCTCAGAAGATCATCTTCAGAATTTCTGAGCAGATAAAGTCCTTGGCATGTGGTGAGCACTAAATAAATGTTACTTCCCTTCCCAAGTCAGTAGAATTTTAAAAGACACATGATTCAATACCTGACAATATGCAATAGACCCAAAGTGGCAGTCTCTTCTGACACCTAGTTTGGCAGTGGGGTATTTCTAGAAATGGTAACACTAGGATCACCTAAAACAGAGCCCCTGAACTTGATTCTGCTTGCATTTTAATGATAGGCAAGGATTTTTCGTATTAGATGTTATATTTTTGAACTATACAATATTATGCTTACGAATATAAATAGAGTATGTTAAGTGGATAAACACTCCCAAATAGCTTACATTTTAAAAATTAGAAAAGAAATATCTTACACTACTAAGACTAAATGGTTTTAAAACTTCGCTTTCTTTTCAATAAGAGCCATTTCTAACTTCAATCAGATGGACTAATGTTACTTCATTGCCCACTTTGAATGACCATATGTTGCATTTACTTGTAAATCCTTCAATGAAATAATTTAATTACATCATTCTTGTCAAGAATCTGGCTTAGTCTGAGTTAAATAAAGAGGTAAAATGCTGTATTGAAAATGTATTTGTTTTGCTTAATACTACAAATGCCATAAATCTTTAGATGTATGTTGAAAGATCTGACATATCATTTTCATACTTGCTTGCTTATACAATTAAGTTATTTTAAAAGATATGGGAAATAACCCCCCCCAAAATGAAGAATATTTAATAGAGAGAAAAACCTTAAAATTTTTTTGATTTAATTGTTTACAATAATTCATAGAGAACATTATCAACCCTTGTAAATAGCTTTGCATAAACAATATCAGCTCTGAATATTAGAGATGGAGCCAAAATTTTTGGCTTCCTAAAACTCACAGATTATTTATGATCCAGGATTATACTGGGGTAAATATAATCTAAATGAGTGTTGAGCATTAAGTTTGGGTTATGGAACCAGGTTCTAAGCATGCAGAACCGTGGAGATAAGCCTGAGTACAGATCCAGACAAGTTATACAGAGTGACTCATGGATAGTGGTAGTATCCTGATTACTTAATATTTATTTTATATTTTTATGATTTATCGGATTGGGTCAGCAGTTTAAGGTTATAAATAAGGGTAAAGCAGCCAAACTCTGATATTAAAAATCAGCAAAGTATAAAGCTTGGTATATGGTGAGCACTACCTAAATGTTACTTTCCTTTCTAAATTAAAATGTTACTTCCATTTTAATTTAAAATAAAGTTTAACTTAAAAATGGAAGTTATAAAATTTCCTCTGGAAAGGATGAAGTCTGGGAATTTTATAAAAGAAGTTGTTCTTCGAGATAATTTGTAACCTCATGACATGAGATCTGTGCTTAAGCTAAATAAACTATATTATAAGGATACAAAATGATGATGCTCAATTGTGGTTTCAAAAGTAAAAAGGTGTCCTGAGATTCTGAATATATTAACATTTATTTAAAATTCTATAAAGAGTCCTGTTTCAAATTCCACAATTTAAAGGCAAACAATATCAGCAATCATACCAGAGGTAGTTATGAATGCATTTAAGAAGAATACTTACAATGATGACAGTAGCTATAATGTTAGCAGTAGCTAATATATATTGGGTACTTCTGTGTCATGCAGTATGCATTATATTATTTAATCTTCACAATAATTCTGACAGATACTCTATTGTTCCCATTTCAAAGATGAGGAGATTGAGAAACGTTAGGTATCTACCCCATATCACGATGCTAGAAAGTGGCATATGTGAGATGATAAAATTTAAAATATCAACTATTTTCAGAAATATAACATGCTAGACTTAAAGAAAAAAAATCTACTTTTGAAAAATAATAGTGAAGTCATCTCAACTATAATTTGCTATGTGAGATTATGGAAAATCAACATAGTAGGAGAATTTACAAATGAGAAATTTAAGTCTTCCTAGAGAAACTGAGAAAATTATTAAGGTCAAGGTCACTGGAGAGACTACAAAGTCTTTAAAAATATTTGTACAATCACTTAATATAAAGTACCTATTTATTGAATATGTATTATGTGCCAGGTCTGGTCCTAAGCACTCTACAAATTAGATATCTAATTTTCCCAACTACCCCAGGAGTCATGACCAAAAGGTGGTAGAGTCAGGATTCAGACCAGAGAAACCCATCTGTCCCCAGAGCCTATGTTCTCAGCCATTGTGTTATGACCCAGGGCATTTATCCACCTTCAATCTGTCCAGTTTTCATTAAACAAGGCTTGTTTACTAGGACATTTTTGAGATACCTTTTCCCACACAGGACACAAAACACTACAAAAGTTGTTACACATTGTAGGTAAGTGCATTTCAAGAGACTTAGTCCTCCATGTTAATATTCAATATCTCTCTGATTTATGTCTCAGAGATACTGACTCATTCTTGAATCTCAGGGCTTTGAGAAGCAGAATAATCAGTGTGCTTGAGAGGGAAAACTTTGTATGACTTTTATTTTTCAACATCTCTCTACCCAAGATAAGTCCATGCAATGGCCCCAGGCACTAATTTACGCCCCTTAGCTTCTGCTCTCATAGAAGTCACTGGAATGCACTTCTAAGATACATAAAGTCTTCTTAGTCTCACAGCTCCCTTTGTTTTATCTCTCCCAAGGATTCCCCACAGTAACTATGCTTATTCTGCCATTCAATTCGACTCTACAGTCTTTCCTCAGCTCCAATTCTTTTTGATAATAATCCTGACTAGAGTAACTGCAATTTAATATCTTGGAACAGAAGACTTTTAAGTTTGAGAAAAGGATATGTGGAAGTAAACTTATATGCACTAGCAGTTCATGTAAGGGAACCTCACAATTAGGGAAGGATTCACATATAGATAATCACAATAAGCACACTTTTGTCAAAACCAATTTCAAGGAGTTAGCCTCTCCATTATATAGGTATTGGTTTTACAGTGGCAGAAGCAACACAAATTATGAAATAGGTTTCATAAAACTGTATTTCAGTTACTTTAAAAAATAAGAATACTTGTCATGAAATTCCACTTGCACTAAATCTTAGCTCCCTCTATATAAGTATTAAAAATGTCTTCAAACACATCAGCATATGCTTAGCTAATCATATATACCTCAATCGACGTCCAATGCCTTTTTGTGATAGCCTACTTTTTTCCCTTCTGATATGTGTCCAGTTAGTTAACATAGCTTTTCAATTTGCAAGAAAGCAGAAATATCTCAGATCAGGTCATAACATCAAATATCATCTGCAAACAGTAAATATATTTTTCAAACTCTTACCAGTCTTAGTGAGACAGGTGCAGTCTGCTTTGCAACAACTCCACTAATCTGGGATTATATCTAAGCAAAGTGGATCCAGGCTGGTCCTTTCAAGAAGGTGTCCCAGGGAAAGATCTAAGTAGTAATCACCCGAAGGGACTCGAGAGCACCACTCACGAATGTGCTGAAATTCAGAAGGGGACAAAGAAGGAAGGCAAGTCTGTTAGCATTGCTTCATGATTACTTTTGCAATGTTACTCATACGTGTTAAACCTTAGGAATAGCAGTCTTAATCTTTTAACTTACAGTTCAGAGGCAGGATAATCTAGCCATCAGAGTATGAACTTTATTTGTCAATTAAAATAAGTAAATGAAAGTACATCATGATTTTTTTTTTTTAAAAAAGGGCATGAGCTCCAAGTCAGTTGGATGGACTTCATACCACAATTTGGTCACTTACCCATCTTTAAGGGCAAGCTATGTACATCTTCTGCAGAAGACTGTGAATAAACAAAATAAGGTAATACTAACAAAATGCTTTTAACAATTCTCAATAAAAAGTAGTTATTTTATCCTTAACTCAGAAAAATAGAGAGAGGGCCCATTTATGGAGTATATAATATTAAGCCCTGGGTTGGTGTTTTTCAGAAATTATCTCACTTAATCCATTCACATGAGTTGTTATCTTTTCTGCTTTACAAATTAGGAAACTGATAATCAGGGAATTAGACATTTGCAGAAGTCAGACAAGAAAACAGTGGATTTGGAACTTAAGATATGTCTGTCTGATCTGGCCTTTTTCACATTTGAAGAGAATATAGTAAATTTTAGAATCAGTTGGTTAATTTTCACAAAATCATCGTTTGTGATACAATAGCATTGCATTATTTCCATAGATCATTTAAGTGCTTTTGTCAGAAGAAATGAAAGAATTAAAATAAAATACATTTCCAGCTAAATAATAATTCCATGTAGGAGGAAATAATAATGATTAAAGTAGAAATTAATGATCAGAGAATCAGAAAACAGTAACTCTATAAATAAATAACCTCAGTTTTTAAAAACTTTAACAAAATAAACAAAGCATTGGTAACCTTGACCAGAAAAAAAAGAAAGAAGGTAAAACTACACAAAATAAAAAATAACATGAAGAATTAGCAATTGAAAAAAGATGAAATAAGAAGCCTAAGTGACTACAAACATCTATGAATACAAGTTTGAAAATTTAGATGAAAGAAAAAATTTTCCAGGGAATCACATGTACTAAAACAGACCTCATTAATGGAGAAAGTTTAAAGAGATCAATTTCCATACAAGAAATAGCATTATTAAGAATAAATATCATAAAAAACAGCCAGATCCAGATAGTGTTGTGGTAAAAGTCTACAAAACACTTGAAGACCAAATAGTTTCAGTACTCTACAAATTGTTGCTAAACACTGGAAATAAGAGAGACAGTATTTCCTTTTATTGAGCCAGAATAACACTTACACCTAAACTTTAAAAACTCTCTTCAAAAGAAATCTATAGACCTATATTGCCCATGAATATCAATGCAGAAGTACTAAAAGAAATTTTGGCAAACACAGTATTATACATCATATTAAGAAAATAATGAATACAATTAAGTGTGATTTATTATAGGCATTCAAGGTTGGTTCATACTAGGAAATCTATTAGTATCATATGCAATATGATTTTTCCATATATGCTGAAAGGCCTTAATAAAATTCAACATTCACTCATTATAAGAATATTCAAGAAAATAAATGTGATTTTTAAAATATTAAAAAATATGTATTTCTCAATGGCAAAATTGGTATCTTAACTGAGCAACACTAGAAGCATTCCTATTCACAGCAGGAACAAAGAGAAGATGCTAATATTTCCATTATTATATATTATTTTATTTAAAGTGTTAACTGCAATTAGACAAAATAAAGCTATTAAAGGTATTAGAACTGGTACAGAAGAGTAAAATAATCCCTACTTATAGATGATATAATATCTGAAAAACACTTAATCAATAGTAATTAATATTCTTAATCCCCACATCATAAACTAAGTCAACAGGATATGAAATGAATATTTAGAAATTAAGACATTAATCTTTCACATATATTGCATTATAAATAAATAACCACAGTGAAGGGGATGGGAAAGAATAGAACTAAGCTAAATAACTTTCAGAAACAGTGTTTTGACTGCTTACTCCAAGTCTAAAGACAAGGAAAAGTATACACACGTACTGTACTCCAGTTAAAGAAGTGATATTTTAGAGTGGTATGAAATTGCAACTGTGAGACTACATTGTGCATACAGGAGGATTAAGTAAATAATTGAATAAATTGATGATACTGAGAGTAAAGTTTCTCAGTGTCAAAAAGAGGAGTTACAAGTAATGGAAGGGATTTGGCTGGAATGAACCCTGTGATGCTGTACTGTAATCAGATGCCTCAGCATGAACTCAGGAGTGAGTGTGTGTGTGTGTGTGTGTGTGTGCGTGTGCGTGTGTGTGTGTGTACACAAACGGACATATAGTAGAGATGTGTGCACATGTGTGATGTATATGTACACATATTTCCTAGCTCTGTCAGGTGACCTTGAAGCAATGGCAGAAGAGCAATGAGCACATCTAGTACTCAGATTTTGTTTTCCAAATACCTTTTGCTAAGAAAAGAGCCAAACATCCTTCATGAAAAGGCTGATTTTAGGAATTGGTGGAGATTAGCAAGATGAGGAAATGGAGCAAGATGAGCCAGCAAGATCTTATAGTGTCAGAGTAAGCATATGCTCAAAATTTCATGGCATCAGGGTTAACCTGAAGGAGCCCCCCAATGGCCAATTCTAGAATGAGACCAACAAACTAAATGATGATCACAAGAAGTTTAACTCATGGAATAAAATAAAGATCCTTGAGTCCATACCACCAATAAATAATTGAATGAATAGGTAAGGACAAAATCCTTACAGTGAAATTCAAATTCAAAATACAAAAGGAATGATAGATATAGAAAATCATCATCTCGCAAACAAAGTGGTAATCATTGTTTAGAAATAATAATCGTTGATGGAGGCTAAAATTTGTGGGCAAAAGTTTATGAGAAAACAGGACAATGGCAGAGTCTCAAACTCTCTTCCCACAAGATCCTTATTATCTATAAGGGAAAAAATAAAAATTTATAGTGGAGAAAATTGACAGACTCCACCTCAGTCAAGTGATCAAAATTAACATCTCCAGGAATGAGACGTGCTGACATCATGTATCTCCTGATATAATATATTGAGAAGGTCACAGCACAGCCTCTGCAGTATTCATGCCAAAAAAAAAAAAATTCTGAATTTAATCACGAAGCAATATCAGACAAACGAAAATTGAGGGACCTTCTCCAAAATGACTTGCCAGCACTCTTCAAAATTGTCAGTCATGAGAGATAAGGAAAGTCTAAGAAGGCCCCCAAATCAAAAGAGAGTAAAGAGATATGACAGGTAAATGCAGTGTGTGATCCTGGTTTGGATCTTGATTCAGAAAAATGACATTTGTGGCACAAACTCATAGTAGCAGAGGGTAGAATGGTGGCTACAAGGATCTGGGGGATAGGAGAAAGGGGAGATGTTAGTCAAAGGGCACAAGTAAAAGAATAAAAATTTAAAAAAACAACTATGGTATATTTACAAGATTTACTGTTCTACGTCAACAAAGCAGATCAAACTGTTATTACAAATTATACAACATGGATCAGGCCACAGAGATGATATTGAGGAAGAAAATCAAAAGAGAACATAGTGTGTCATTCCATTTATATGAAATTACAATAACTGATAACATGAACTTCTGGGGGTATTAATTAGGACAAGTAACATGAGAGACCTTTGGGTGGATGTATCATTCTATTTGTGGGGGTTATACATGTATATTAATCCATAACTTCACCAAGCTGTATACTTAAGATCCAGGTATTTTATTGTAAGTAGGTTTTAATTAGTGGATAATTATGAGAAAAATATTATTGAGTGTATTCTTTTGTCTCAGGTTTCATAGTTTAAATATGCCATTTTATCAGACAGAGCTTTCTAAAGGATACAATTAAAACTAAGTATTAACTTCAGAGAATGCGCTTCCTTATAAAACAATAGAAGAAAACCAGAATTGTTTTCCTTCTTCAATGCCTTTGTTGAAAAGATATGCTTTAGTTATCTGATTATCATTTTGGAGGATGAGAAAAGATAATATTCTGGTTTTTGCTATAAATACTAATTATTCCATGCATTCAAAGTGTTCATTTCTTCTTAAAAATGGACGGAAATATTAATTATTGGACACAATAAAGTTCAGCACCCTGAGATATCTTAGGAAAATATTTTTAATATATGTGTACCAAAACGGATTTTTTTAAAAAACCAAACAAATTTTAAATGAGACATTATATTTTCCTAAGCTATCAAAATGTCTTTAGCTATATAAAGGTGCTAATGCAAAACAATGCATTTCAATTTTCCACAACATTAAAAGTAAATATAATTACGTTTTCCCTTAATTGCAAAATTTCTAGAATTTTTCATCTATAGTAACTCGAAATTTGTTAACATTAATGAATTTGAAATCTCTCATATTGCTGCCCTCCATGAGTTTTTCCCTGAAAGTGCCACTTTTAAGCAAATATGTAATATACAGTCCCTTTCCTTGAGCATTTTACATCCTATTGGGGAAGACAAGATAATTACAATTTAACTAAATTTGTAATTAACATATGAAATGTGCGTACTAGTCACAGAAGTATTGGTTTCTACCAATAGAATGTGTGATGTTCAAGATCCCTATTAGGGCCTTTAATATATGTCTTGAACATAGTCAGATGTCAATATAAATAATATCTTTAAGAAAAAAAAGATTAAATTATGATCTGCATCTTTGGTTAAAAGAAGGCTAAAAAATAAATATACATTCAAATATTTTAAATAATAAATTAAGTTTGGCAGTGAGAATATGCTCCAGTTATCTAGAAAATTTACTTATTTAAGACTCTTCTGTTCACCAATATTACCAAGTAAAGTCATTTACAGATCTGGGAACAAATCTGGGTGCTGCAGTAGAACAATTTGGACAACCATATTTCCCCTAGAACTTTAATAGAATTTCATAGCATACATATATTTTTTGTCCATTATATTGTAGAGGTCTTT